TGAATCAGGAGGAGAGGGAAACACCTAAGAAAGTACAACTCCAACTGCAAAATCTGACGCATCAATGGTGACTGTGAAGGGACGGTCAAAATCGGGGAGGCGGAGAACCAACGCACAAGTCACCGCCTTCTTAAGGGCACGACAACCGTCCTCGCAGAGGGGTGTCCAAAACCACGGCGGGTTCTTCCGGAGGAGGGTGGAGGTAAGGACGTAGGAAGACCTAGCGTATTCGGGGTTGAAATTACTATAGTAACTAGTGAGGCCTAGGAAACTGTGAAGCAGCTTGACGGATGTGGGGACGGGCCACTCCTCAATAGCAATGATCTTCGCGTCGTCCATGTAGAGACCCTAGTCAAAGGTAGGCAAAGCGGCACTTGATAAGTTTGGCATAGAAGCCATGCTTGCGTAAGCACTGTAGGACATCTAGTACGTGTATGAGGTGGTCTTCTAAGGTACGACTGTAGACCAACATGTCATCCAGGTATACGCGAACTTATTCTTCAAGGATGTCGCTGAAGATATCCTTCATCATCGTTTGGAAGGTGGCGTGTGCGTTGGTGAGACCGAATGGCGTCACCGTGAACTTGTAGTGGCCGAAGAGCGACCGAAAGGCGGTCTTCGACTGGTCCTCTGCGACAACACGGATCCGGCGGTAACCGCTTCAAAGATCGATCTTCATGAAGAAGCGGCTGCCTGCCAGACAGTCAAACAGCTTGCCTAAGCGAGGCATGGGATAGTTGTTCTTAACCGTGTAAAGTTTTAGGCCGCGGTAGTCAATGCAGAGGCAAAGAGTTTTTGTTTTTAATAAAAACCGATAAAAGCAGCTCCTCAAGCTGACGCTCGAGTTTCGTCACCTCTCGAATCGAGAGTTGGCAGGGTGTCTGATGGTGGACACTATTCAGGCACGAGCTGGATAGAATGCTCAACACGAAAGGTATCCCACTATATGGAAAATACAAGGGAAAAACGTCGCGGTACTCTTGAATCATGTCGCGAACGGCAGGCTCTAATTCGACCTTGAACAGTGTGAGTTCCTCAACGTCTGCATCGGCACGAGACATATGTGTGGACTCGGTAGTGAGTAGGGATCTGGGACGTCGAGGGGGTATCCGCACGCTGAGGGGTGGATATCGAGATGGGAGTCGTGAAGATGGAGGAAGGGTCAGGGGGATCGGGCTCCAAAGAAATGAGCTCAACCTCTGGGCTGAGTGGATCATAGCGAAGATATATGACGTTCACCAAGTAGAACAAAACGTCCTCACGTACGAAGTGAGCAAATTGGCGAGTAGTGAACATGATGTCTGGGTGGGACCCCGAGGGATGAGGGTCATGGGAGGTAGGTCAGGAGGGGTGTCGCCGTCGTTCCAATAAAGGGGACTCGATGGATTTGACCACACTTCGTTTTGAGAACTAGTGTCTCCATCGCCCATTCGGACTATGTGCTATGGGACTGGTGAGACCAGGGAGTGTCAAGGATAAAGTCGTACCCAGTCTCCAGCACGTCGAAGAATGCAGAAGAATGGCAACGGTGAGGCGCCTGGGTACTATCCAGTGGCTGGGGTGTGAGGAAAAAGGGGGGGTCAGGGACCGTCTGGTCGAAGAAGCGTTGTGTCTTATTATCGTCGAGGATAATGGAGATAGGAGAGTGAGACTTGGAGGTAGCTAGACGAGCTTCCTCAACCACACGAGGGTGAACGAAATCTCCCTGCAAGTCGGAGTCTCATAAAGCGGGTTACACCCTCATAGATGTCCCTAGGCGAATGGGAATGACAGGGAGAGTGTGATGAGGATTAGAGAGCAGAGCGAGAAGACAGCGCAGGACGTTTACATGTCCCGTGAGTCGTGCCTGACAATCCTGAAGAATGCTCAAATCCAGGAGAAATGACACAACGTCATCGCGAGTCGCCAGTTGAGTGCTACAATGAGTTGTGCGAATCGCGCGACGTGTCGGAAGTCTCAGAGGGGAAGGACTAGATGTGGCGATCTGCAATGGGGCAGGCGGTACTTGGACAGACGGCGGGGCGAAGGGAACAGTGTCTGTCGTGTCCTGAGGATCCTCCGGTGTGGTAGCAAAAAGGGCAAACCACGACTCTGTGGTCGGGAAGCCGGCTACGTGCAAGGCCTCAGCGGTACACTGCACCGTGGCTAGCTGGATGGGACTGTCCGAGTGGAGCTGGGGGGGACTCGAATCGACGCTAACAAGAAATGTCCAATCCAATCAGTAAGATGGGGTTATACCCCAACTGCAGTTTGTTCAGCTTCATTCTTCATTTTGCACAGTTCCGCGTGTATGCGTGTTGAGTCCATGTTGGAGTTGCGGTATCCCTTCAAGCTCCAACTTCATCTTTGTCTTGCTCAGCCCTTCGGCTTTGTCCTGAAGGATCGCCGTCCCCAGGCGAATGGGAATGATGGGGAGGGTGTGATCAGGATCAAAGAGCAGAGTGAGAAGATGACGCGGGACGTTTATGTGCCTCGTAAGTCGCTCCTGACGAGGGTGAAAAATGCTCAAATCGAGTAGAGATGACACAACGTCACCGCGAGTCGCCAGCTGAGCGCTACAATGAGTTGTGCAAATAGCGCGACGCGTCGGAAGTCTCAGAGGGGAACGACTAGATGCGGCGGTCTGCTATGTGGCAGATGGTACCTGCTCAGACAGCGAGGCGAAGGGAACTGTGTCTGTCGTGTCCTAGCCCTCCGGTGTAGTAGCAACCGTGGTCGGGAAGTCGGCTATGTGCAAGGACTCAACGGTACACTGCATCGTGGCTAGCTGGATGAGACTGGCCGAGCGGGGCCGGGGGGGGTACTCAAATCGGCGTTGACAAGAAATGTCAGCGTAATGTCAATCAAGGGCGGGATGGTAGTGCGCATACCTTTGACCGCATGTGCAACGGGCCTTTATTTCCCCTAGCCTACAGCGAGGGCATATCAAGCTATTTTGCCTATTCGAGCTATGGGACCAGGCCGTGGCTTGACCCTTGTTGTTTCAGACTAAGCCGGTTCGGTACCACTGTCAGGACCAGTCCTGTACAATCCAATCAGAGTCAGATGGGGGTATACCCCAGCTGCAACTTATTTCAGCCTCATTCTTCGTTTTGCACACTTCAGAGTACGTACGTGTTGAGTCAGCGTTTGAGCTGCGCTATCCCTTCCAGCTCCAACTTCATCTTCGTCCTGCTCAGCCCTTCGTTTTTGTCCTCACGGACCTCCATCCCGACGGGTCCGTTACACTGGTATTTGAGCGGGAACCCTCCCCCCCCCCCCCCAACTGCAGTCTGTTTCAGCCTCATTCTTCATTTTGCTGCACACTTCGAAGTACGTCTGCGTTGGAGTTGCGATATCCCTTCCAGCCCCAACTTCATCTCCGTCTTGCTCAGCCCTTCGTCTTTGTCATGACGGACTGCCATCCGGACAGGTCCATTACACTGGTTTCAGAGCAGGAACCATCCCGCCGCGCTCCGCCCCACCGGACGGGCGGGTTTTGGACCCCCACCACCACCGACGGGCCGCTTTCCCCCATGACGGGCCTTCTACTGAAACTAACCGCAGATATGCGTTCGGCAGCCCCCAAAACCCCCATAGCCGTCCTTCACTTGCCTGACTCCGTGAAGGATCGAGTAAACTACCTATCTGTAGTTGCGCTCGACTTGTTTTCCAACATCTCCATCCTTGATTGTACCTAGCGCGGAGCTATCGAACAGAGAGAGTGATGGAGGAAGACAGCGGATCTTGCTCGCTCTTGGGTAGAATAGTGTGGGGGAAAGTGTTAAACATCGGTTTTCGACAGAGGCGAAGCTAATGGTAGTGTCAGAAGTGAAAGAAAGGGGTTAGTTCAAGAGTTCCAAGAGGGGGAAGTTGCGTGCGTTGTTGTGGGAAGTAACGATCACGTTAATGACGAGGTTGAGGAAGGACTATTGGGATGAAAACTCACATTTTCTCCGATGGGCTCAGACGGGAAGGTCTAGCCGGGGGGTCTTATCATCTGCCTAAGAACAAAGAAAGTTATAAAGTTTGTATTTATCGTTGTTTGAACTCTCCTAAGTTGGGGCGGCTTAGCAATACGTCCTGTAACTTTGTTTAGACAGATCAGGCGCACCCCTAAGTTGAGGCGGTTTGATCATATTGCCTTATGTATCTTAAACTGTTAAGGCTAGCTACGCATACCCCTAAGTTGGGGCAGCCTAGCGATATGCCCTTTGTCGTTGATGGTATGTAGGATGGACGTACCCTTAAGTCAGGACGGTCTGACCATTCGTCGTTTGTATTTGTTTAGGCAGGTTGGGCATACCCCTAAGTTGGGGCGGTTTAACCCTAAGCCGTAAGTTGGGGCATGTCGCCACTTAGGCAGACGTTGGGCATACCCCTAAGTTGGGGCGGTCTGGTCTTATGCTTTATGTTCATGGTTTATGTTGGGTCGCGCATACCCTTAAGTTGGGCCAGTCTGGACATACGTTTTCAGACATGTAAGTGGGACATACCCCTAAGTTGGGGCAGTCTAGTTGTGCATACCTTATTCACTTACTTAGGCAGGTCAGGTGTAACCCTAAGTTGGGGCAGTCTAGTTGTGCATACCTTATTCACTTACTTAGGCAGGTCAGGTGTAACCCTAAGTTGGGGCGGCTTGATTTTATGCCATAAGAAAAGGGGGGTTGCAGAGGGTTAAAAGAATTGAAAGACTAACGAACCACTTGGCTAAAGCTAATGTGGGATTGAGAGAGATGTGGATTATACATGTTTAATTGGGAACACTCCTTTGGGGCATCTCTTGATAGTCTTAGTTGCTTAGATGCTCGCTGAGTGTTGGAGCCATAGATATAGACTAGAATGGCTGGTGGGAGAGGAAGCTTCGGATAAGAGAGGATGGACCTTATTAGGACTTAGGACTAGTGCTAGCTCACAGGGTCGTCTTCAAAGAAGGATCGTGTAGACTATCCTGAAACAGTTTTCACCTTTGGCAGTAGCCGATGCAGATCCCAGGGGTCTATCCCTTGACCTCAGCTTACCTGTGTACAGTACCTGCACAGTTCCCTGGAGTTGAACCCGTGACCTGCACGATAGCCAATGGTAAGTAGGTCGCCGTAGGTTGTAGGTTGTAGGGAGATTCGAACTGTAGACCTGTAAGGTAGGAGTCCAAGTAGAGTCCAGAGGCCTAGCTTTAGTCCTTCTAGAAGGTCGGCAAGTGGTCAAGTGGTGAGTCTAAGGTATTCCCACGTTTTCAGACGAAGACAAGTGGCAAGGTCAACAGGTAGGACCTCAGTGCAACTGCACTGAGTCGACGGTACGACTGCCTACAGTCAGCAGAAGGGTCTAGAGAGTCCCAGTCCAGTCCAGCAAGT